AGCGGTTATGTTTTGGTTTTTTAAGTGAACTTGTCGGACACAAGTTCTGGTTTGCCACCCACCACAGTTGGTTATATTATTTCCTATTTACAGTAAGAGGGGGGAAAAAAAAGAAAATCAACCATATAAGTAATACAGTAGCTTTTGGTGTTGTAGATTTTCAGTTGTCTATCAGATCCTCCCACAAACTCAGGATTACTCAATTATTTGCTTACTGGTATTTTGATTGTGTTAAAGTTTAGCCAGTTGCACTTCTTCCCAAAACTTCAGAGGAAATCCTCCACGTAAGCAATTCATAATTTTGTTTCATTGGGAGTGTCAGATTAAATCTTCATTAAGGAATTGTATCTAAAATAGTGTTTAATCTGACAAATTTCCTAATCATATTTATTCCGAGCAGACATTACTATTTTATCATCCAGTTGGCAAGAAGAAAAGTCTCATCCAAAGGCAGCCTAACAAGAAAAGTAGACAGACAATTGGATGCAGCAGATCCCAATCTCTGTCTCATACATTTATAGGGTGGATTTTGGAATAAGGCATACACCACCGTATTTCTGAACGTGGCAATAACAACACAATAGGTTGGAAAGGAGAAAGAAGAGGATGACATTCCTATTTGGCAAACTTTGTAATTTAATACACAGTCATTTAAACCACATCATTGAGCTGCTGTAATCTACCTTGCTTTAAGTGACTGACAAATACAGAGGCAATGATTCCCCTCTTCCCCCACCCTCCCCGTCTGGTTATAACTCAGACCATTAAAAAACCCTTCTCTTTAGTCTTTTATTCTGCTGTTGATCTCCTCCTGACCCCCATCACCCATTCCTGAAAACTGAAAATTGCCTGCTTACAAAGGGGCAATGATAAAAGCCCACCATGCACACTTTGGGGAGTCAGCTACTCCATTCCTGCCCTATCTATAAACAGAAGTGGGACTGGCATACTTGAAAACCTCAGACAGTTTCCTCACGCACAGTAACCGTGACTTGTTCTAACAGATCAAATTTCACCAAATACATGACTGTCTCACTTTTCTCAATGCTGGTTTTAGACTGGGGAGAAGCAGGGGGAGGGAGGGAAGAGCAGGTCATGGTTATTACCTTGCAGCCTTGTCAACATGTAGCATGTGACTGCAGAATGCAAACAGCTGAGGTTTTTATTTCTTCCATGGCAAAATTTTTAAGATACATTAGAGTAATATAATAACAATATGAGGTTAGTTTAATAACTTTGTTTGGTTTAGGAGTCACATCATTAAATATAATTAAACAGCAGAGATTTAAAATGATCTAATTCTTAGCTTCTTGGTCATCTATTCACATGTCACAGTGACAACAGCTTATGAACATCGAGGACTGTGGTCCCTTTAAAATTAAAAGGTATGCAATGTAATGATGAAATTGATTTCTTTTGGATTTTGGTTTGGGTTTTTGGTTGGTTGGTTTGGGGTTTTATTTATTAATTTAATGTAACCTCATAAAAGGAGGAAAAACAACAGAGCAGCAGACTGGAAGCCACGGCTGCCTGAGGATCTGTCCTCACAGCCAAACACCTATTAGAAACCACAGCCTTACATCCACTGCCTTACGTCTGTTGCACTACTACGTTGATACAAAAAGTTCAACACAACTAATTTCTATTGTTGGGGGAACAGATAACAGAAAATCTCACATTCTGGAACCACACGCTTTCAAACAGAACTCGGAAAAATCCAGATGGGATCAGCTTCAAATAAAAGAAATAGTTCTATTCACACATCCTTCAAAGAGAAACACCGAGGAAAAGCAGGACTAAAGTCCTGCACATCACTCAACCACAGGTCCAGAAAGCGCCTACTGAGAGGTTACCTCTACCACCAAGAGCAACAACTACTCAGTTACTAATCAAAGTCTTTGAAATTAAAGATTACCAGCAAGAACAACCAACCTTATAAAAATCTGTAGTTACAATACACAGAAAACCAGTCTATATAGCAGCTGGCCAAACCCCAGAGCATGTAGTAGTATGAAATATGCTCTGAAGCAGTCTGGTAGCAGACTTTGCATCCCCAGTACACTAACTGCCTTTTAGTTATACAGGCACATGAATTCTCTCTCAGGGTTTCCATATGTTAATGCAAACAACATTCCCAAAGAAAGCAAAGCATATGTAATAATATGGGATGGAAGCAGGCACTAAAGAGAACAGTAACAAGGTCTGAAATGAAGTAAAACACACTTTCTAGCCACAGAGGTCATATCCCAAAGCACCTATTTCAGTCATTTGGGTTTCTCCTAAAGGAAGTTGCTGGGAACAGCAGAGACCTCTGAGGAGCCCAACTTTCCACAGAGTATGGATTATCCAAATTCTAGATATTCCTAGACGGGATGAGCCAAATCTGCAATGAGTATGCACATCTGTCAGCCATTCCCTTCACTTTGTTCCATAAAAGCCAATACTCAAGAACATCATGTGGAACTGAGCTATCAAAATTTCTCTGCCATGAAATTGTCTTACACAGATCTGTCTAATCTTTCTACGTATTTTTCCAGTAGTTCTGGACTACCTATGATGACGTTGTGGTGAGGGCAAAGCACAAAATTCTTTCAGTTATTTTCATCAAGCATGCTGACCTTCTGAAAGAAAAGAATCAGTCTTCAAATTAAACAAACACTGCTATTTTATTTTAAAAGCTTTCATCAGCTTTTCCGGCTGCTGTAGAGCACTTTATAGAATTACTGTAAGAGATGCCATGACATAACTAATGCTAGTTTCAAAAGGCAATTTGGAAAACCAGTTCCTCAAATGAGGAAAGCCCAGACTGTGCCAAGACAATATTGGCCTAAACAGTTAAAAGTAAACTCTTTACTATTGATTTACAGCAACAACACACAGAAGAAATGGATGGACAAGGACACCCTAGAGAGGAAGCATTTGCCCCGACCAGTGGGGAGAAAGAGATGCCTAAAACTAAAGTACAAGTTTATACGTAAATTAAAAGCAGCAGTTCACAAGTACTAATAGAAACACACACAAACATGTGCTTCTACTTCTTTTGCTCCAAAACAGCTCTAATTTTCTTTCAAGTTTAAATTTATTGCAGAGGATGCCAACAATGGCCAACTCCGCACCCAGAAAGCAAAGCCACTGATCTCAATTTCCTGCATGCAAGATATAACACATACACAGACACACACGCGCACACACACACACACACAAACACATACACACAAAAAACACCCCCCATCATCTAAGCTTTAAATTACTTTGGATTTTAAAAGCTGATTTGGGAACAGTGACTAAACTTGTTCCAGCTAACCTAGTTTTTATTCATTTCATTATTTATTGCTAGGCAACATAGACCATGTCAAACCATGTTAGAACCATGAGAAGAAGTCCTTCCAATTTGGATCAAAAATTCTCTTCTCGCCCTCCTCCCCCTCAATGTGGAGGCCACATGTGTTCTTTTAACACCAGCTTTCCAGACACAACCATCTTTCTGACCTCGAGCTGACATTTCAAACTCTTCTCAACATCTCCCATAAATGCAGCTTACCCAAACCTCATATGGTGCCTGTAAATAGCTCTCCAGATCCCACTTGCTCAAAGAATGAGTCTTTCTTCATATTTACAATCAGAATTAGTCCCAGTCACTATACTGGCAAGTCCAGAACAGGTATCTGTTCACACAGGTATCCTTTTCTACCTTTTAGAAGACTCTAGTTTCTTTTCCAACATCCCTATTATCCAGGGTCTGTATATGCATACCAGAAGAGACTGCCTGCTAACTTTAGTATTACTCCCTTCATTCATAAGGAAGTTCTGAAGAACTCCAGAAAGGCAGAAGAACCAAGAAAAAGCAGAGGTTCAGATCCCCAAATAAACCCTAAACAGAGCGCTCTTCATTAAATGTTTCTTCCAGTGTGAAGCTTAAATAAACCCTACAACTTCTTTAATAAAGCAACATAAAACATCTTACCTTTTGTTTATAGGTTTCTCATCTTTCTCATAAGGCTTCACAAACCACTTCCCAATGCGTACGAAATTTCTGTTCATCAGACACCTCTCCAACAGGTTGTGAACGGCTTTGAAAAGCAGAGTGCGACATTCATATGAAAGTCCATTCTCCCAAACACCATCTTCCTCTTCTACAAGGCAAAGGGGAAAAATAAATTAGCACTGAGTTCCATCCTGTTATTTCATGCACAAATCACAATATCCTTTTCTCTCCCACAAGGTTTTAAGACATTCACAGCATAACGTGCAACCAAAAAAAGCCTGTAACATTCAGATAATAACTACTCACTCCATAATAGTATAACTGCTAAAAGTAATAAGCTATAAAAATAACTCATCTCCCACAAGAAAAAAAAAAAAATAAAAGGATTCAACAGCTATTTGTACAGAAAAGGAACAACCAGCACCAGTGTATTACATATTTCAGACTCCAATATCACTGTATACTGACCTGTCTGCACAGTGGCTCACATTTTGGGGAGTCTGAATTGCTTATCCTGAAGAGTTAGCTGACAATTATGGTTAAAAATTAATTGCCCAAAGCCAAACTTTTAATATATTTATTGTCTTCAGCTACCACTGACTGAGGAAAGCTGGGCACAAATATTGATCAACTGACCCTCAACGTTCAACAATTTGCTAGAGGGAAAAAAAAAAATACCCAGATTCAGAAAACTGGTAAGAACATCCGGAAGAAGACTCTCACAACTGCAGCTTTTCTTTCGTATTCAAAATAAAAAGAGATATTTAACCAGGCTAGTCCTGCTTTCTGATCTATACATAGAAGAGAAAAACAGCAAGCAGAAAGACAAAGCCCAGTTCATACCGACGGGATTCTGAAGTTAAACACAGAGATCTTACACGTGCCCCACAGATCTAACCTAATCATGGAATCCAACTTACACAAGCCAAACTGATTTGCCAAATTGGAAAGCAAGATTCATTACAAGAAGCTGTAATCTCTTTAACCATTCTGGCTTGTAATCAGTGTTTGAACACAGTTTATGGGCCCTAGAAGTATATGCAGTGGTCCAAGGAACTACAGTGGCATTACAATTGCATTACACAAGAAAAATGAGGGACATTTGAAAGTTCCTGTAGTATCTCTCAGTTTATATGTGACATCATTCAACATTCCCAGCAACCCATTAATATGGAGGATAATATAAGAAAATTCAAGATCTTACCCTTAAACTACTGACAATCAGGTCTTAAGTTTTTGCCTACAATTCTCTGTATATCACATTTTACATAAATCCCTAAGGATCTGCTATGGGTCTCCTTGGACTAACCTAACATAGTTATTCTTATAACACCACTTCTTTTATACTCCATCTAACAGCAGAGACTAGAAGATTGTCTGACATAGATAAGGAGACATATTTTTACTCCAGTCTCCGGATAGTCTTGGAATAATTTAGGTTGAAAGGGACCTGTGGAGGTCACCTGCTCCAACCCCCACTCAGAGTTCAAAGTTGCTTCCATTCCACATTCACTGCCCCTCATGTCTTCTCTGTGCACCTCCAAGAAGCAAGGCTCAGGTTTAGTTCTGTACAACAGGTCTTACAATGGCGACCTGTCCGTCCACCTCTCCTTTACAGGTGATTTTGGTGCAAGTAGCTTTCCACTGGTTTGCTCAATGATCAGAAAACCCCAGTAATACAGCCAAGCCCTTGCATTTTAAATCCCTGTTTGAAATAAGCCCCTTCACCTTTATCTGGAAGCCACTTACAAGCTTAAAAGGTTGCAATAGTATTAACTAAAGTCTCAATATCCTTAAATTAGAGAGTATGTAGAAAACCAAACACCTAACAGTTTTCTTTAGGAAAAAAACTTCTGGATTATTGCAATAAACAGTATTTAAGACAAAGATGGCAGAGAAAGGAATTTCTAGATGCTGTTGCAACCAGAACATTGTGGCCATATCTGTGTATTGATAGATTCCACACAAGTAGGTTTCCACTCAAGATCAGTATTATGAGTTAAAGACAGAATAATAGTAAACAGACCTGCCACATTATTTACAAATGAGGCGTGCATCATTATAGATGAATCATTACATGAAATAATTTTCTGGTAAAGACAAGGAAAAGCAAGGAACCCCATTTCCTAAACACGAGACTTCTGCAGGCGTTTCCCACCCAACCACCCTATCACAGTTTTGAAGCTCAGCTAAAACCTGTTTTCAAAAGCCATAAAGCTACAAGATTAATACAGTAACTCACTAAAGAAACATCGTACAAGAAGCTTGTAACAAAAAAGCAACAAAGGTCCAAAGTCAAAGGGTGTAAAATGTTTGAGTCAAGAGGACACAGTTTTCCCCAGCTCAGAGATTTGTAGCAGTACACAGCTGAGCAGCCCTGTCCCAGAGGCAGTTCTGCCGTTCGGCACACGCTGCTCAACTGGTGGCAAACAAGCAGCTCAACAGAGCAAACATTAACTACAAAGTTTAATGATATTGGACTTTAACTGCACAATAAACTCCACACCATCTCAAAGGTTAAATAGTTGGTTTCTATATGGCTCTTGTAATTTAAAAAAAAACATTCTGAGAACATCCCCAGCATCCATTACCCACTGTAAGAGGAAATAGAAAGACCTATTTCTAGCCCTTATGCCCAGTTTTGTTTTGACATATTAGTGTATCAAACAGAAGAAAGATGCTGAAATAGCAAAGATACTGAAGCGTGATTCAAACTTTGCATTTTGATGGTCATACTGTGGACACAAAGGAAAGGTTTCAATTTTCTGAAGACACCACAAAGTGCCAGGTATTTCATTCAGCATTTACAGTTGTGCTGACAACCAAATTATGAGCAAAAGTTTACATGCAAGAACTTGCCACAAGTTGGTAATTCTTAAGAGCTCTCCTAGCTTAGAGTACTGCTGAAACAGAGAGCTCTTAGATGAGCATATTATGTGGGAAAAATGCAAGGCTTTAGATTGAAATTACAATGAAACCCCTAGTATTTAAGAAGACAGCATGATGCAAGCCTGCCTAGTGATCAGGAAGAACGTCTGGTCCCCAAAATAAGACCACCTGTTCAAACTGCAGTGCATCTTGCTATAGAAAGGGAAGGTTAAATAAAACGACAGTTAAAGATACCCTCATTTCAAAACATTATTCAAATTCATGCAAAAAAAATAGCAGTGAGTGTTCTGTGTCTTTCTGAAGTCTATTTAGTCATTCTCCCCTCCCCCTTTTCTAGCGTGGTGGATGGAAGGAGAAATATGACATCTGCTCACATCTCTCAACTATTTTTTTCCTCAGTTCAAATGGTTGTTTATCAACACAAGAAAAATCCTCCTACTTAATAGAATTGTACAAAATAAACCATTTCTAAAGCAGAGGAAGATGCGCTCTTGTCTTCTAATCTTCCTTAAACACAGTAACTTGAAATGTTCAATCTGGTAGTGATAACAAACCAAAATAAGTTGCTGACTCATTTTAAGAAGGTGTTAAGTCACAATTTCTCTTCACACCAGTGGTATCCACAAAAGTGCTCTGGCAACCTGAAGGTTACAAATATTGTATTTCTGATTAGTTGCCTTAACTGTCCAAGCCACTCAGCTCCTCTGCGATACACTTCTATGACAACCATTAAAAAAGTTATGCACATCATCTCACTCTAATGAATTTGTTCCCTCTCTCTTTACACCACTTATCAGGCAGAGAGTTTTCCTTAAACAAACCTAAAAATTCTCAGGAAGTGAAAAATTAATGGAAACAATGGCCAGGAAAAAGCAATTTTCATACACAATAAACTTTCTCAGACAACACCTCCTTGATGTTACCACCATCCAGTTTTAATGACAGGGCTGTAGGAGGCTATTTGCTTTCAGTACTTCTGTGTCCTAGTTTACATTCGTTGTACAGCTCACCTGAAACACTGAAGTTTATTTTTACTCATTATACCCTTCTGTCTGTCTAGTGCTCTTGGACAAGTGTTTGGTGAGGCAGTTCAGAAGCATGCTCAGAGTACAAAAGCCTTGCAATTTTTAATGAAAAAACAGTATCTTTAAACTTTTCCATTTAACTGAAGTCAGATGTTGTAAATAATATTTGTTGCCAGATATGGTAACAGATCTTTAGCCAAATGTATTAATCAAAGATTGCCAACAAACAGATCTTTGTTGAACGTATGGGCTTTTTTGCAAGAAAACCAATTTTAAATTTCTTAATCTATAATGCAACAGATAAATACACAGTATTAAAAATGCCATTTTCAAGACTTTTAAAGAAGCGGATTTTCCCCCTTTCTCCTTTTAACATTGCATCAGCAAAACACCAGTAAGCATCAATTCTTGAAAAGGCTGAATGTGTTTACCATACCATTAAAAATATCTTCCTAATGTTCAATGAACCTCTAAAATAAACTATGCACAGGAACAGATCACAGTCAAGCCTCCAATTTGGATGACAATTCCTCTCCTCCTCCCCCAGTTACTTCCATTACACAGAGGAAAAATCCATTCCTTAGTATCATGACTGAGAGGAGTCTTTCAGAAGTATTACTTACCATCATAGGCTTCCTTTCTGTCATCATTTGACAGCATGCCAGTTATAGAAATAGACTGATGTAAAACTGATTTATACAATCAAACTTCCTATATAAGCTTCAGATTACAAGGGAAGTATAATGAACAAAGCAGCACGAAAGTGCTGCTGTATACAATATTGTAACAGCCTGACAGAAACACTTCAAGTAAAGTTTTCTATTTTAAAAAGATTTTAAAATTGAAATAATTTTAAGATTAAATAAAATTGCTCAATGCCAGAACTACCCAGTTAACCTACTGAAAAAATAACTTATGAAATAAGTAAGAAGCATCAGATTTTGCATGGGGGAAAAAAGAAGGAAAAAAAAGAGGAGGGGGATTGAATACAATTCAAAAACACCACGTTAAGAATCCAAGTAAGACAAGTTCAGTTTTTTCCTAGCAAAATTGTAGCTACTATCTACATTCACTGAAAAGAGCCTTAATCTAAGACTCCAGGTACGCAAACTACTTGGAAAATTTCATCAACTGAGAAGGAAGCCAAAACAGGAGCTATTGTCCCAAACACCATACCCAAAATACTCAGCACCACTACAAGTTAGCTTTTTCAGCGCCAGCCCTTTACCAGCACCACATATATAGGTTTTCTCTACCCAGCAGAATATGTTTCTAAATATTGAAAATTTAAATGTGTAAGCTTTTTGCGAGTGTGTGGCTATGCCCGTTTACATGGATAAGAGGGTAACAGCTTTCCTTCACTATTTCTTGCATGTAAGTTTGGCCAGGCTGAGCTGCATGGGCACAAGAAAAGCAAAGCTGAAACACTTTCTAGCTAGATGTTCCAATATCCTCCTCCCCGCCGTCTTTGAGTAATTTCCTATGCACGTGTATTTCACTGACATTGCCCTTTCACTTATGTTTCCCATATATTTCACTTGCCCTTAGTGTCAGATGTCAAGTGACAACAGTCATTGCTCTTATTTATACAAATGTATTATGCATGTGACATCATATATATAACCAACATAACATGATGCAAAATCCTCATTTACTGTAACAAAGTATTTTTCACCTTACTCCGCAGATACTTTCACATGCATGTTGGTCAGGAAAACGGAAGTTAAACATCACCTTTGAGCTGGTACTCACAACAGGTCACAGAAGTTTTAAAAAGATTGCTTCAGTCATTTTTGCATAATGTTTATCAGCAGTTGTGCTTAAATGGCCACATCTCTAACATGGAAGACTGAAGAAATGCTAAAGCATCACTGCACCATGAGGCAAGCAACATTCATAACCCTCCTTAGTACATATGCAGGAACATACAATCCACAACAGAGAGGCTGACTTAAACACAGCACGTTATATTAGGTGCAAAATTTTTAAGAAAGCAACCTTTTGTGGTGGAGGGTTTTGGCAGTTTTGTTGGGTGTTTTGGTTTGGTTCAGTTTTTGGGTTTTGTGGGTTTGGTTGTTTTTTTGTGTTTTGTGGAGTTAAATGGTCTCACAGAGCCAGTGTTATTTAACAAAAAAGGCAAGCCACTGGCTGAACTATTTTCAAAGCTCTCTTTGCCAACCACTTGCAACTGGCAGGTTTTTCTGCAGAATCCTCAGTATGATACTGGCTCATGCTCTGGTTTCCATTGTATTAAAAGTAATGAGACAGTGAGCCATCAGCACAAACCAAGCAATCCACAGGTCTGTTTGGAGATGAGGGTTTGATCTATACTGCACACATACCAAGAACTACCCAACACAGAAGTCTGCTGGTTTTACCATACAGTACCCATAGACAAGCATCAGTACAGACCTTTCTTCTTCCTCTTTCGAGCTCTCCTACAATTCCAGCAAAGAGCTAAGGCTAGCCTTATTTTTATACATTTATCCCTCGTAGAAGTATGAGGAAGACTGTTTGGCAAACAAAAACTTCCTTGTATGACAGGTACAAGGAAAACTCTAATTTTTTTAAAGTAAATTAACAAGATTTAATAAGCACCAGAATGAAAAAGGCAGATCTTGTAGCTCACCATTTAAAAGATGCAATTTGAAGGTCAAAGGCATCCAGAAGCATTCCCCTATCCAAGCATTAATCAAATTGTAACTGTTTCCTTGGGACTATGTCTTGTACATAATTCATCATGTTCTCAGGTTTGAAATCATCTACTGCCAATGTAAAAACCTAAATCCAAGTGTACAGGTAAGCACTTTCAAACAAGAACCTGATAAAATAACTGCTGATCAGACCAGTGAGAGATCATTCGTTGCCTTCTGAAATCTGAAGGGATGTCCTACTTTAAGGTTTCAGTTGCAGGAATTACTATAATCAAGCCTCACTGTCACAACAAAAACATAATCTTTGAGGTTGTTAGATGATAAAATAACACTTCACTAACTTCTGTCTGCCTCTAGCTATGTTAAGGTACAAATAGACTTATGTGTTTTTTGGTATTACATACAGCAAGAAGCTTCCCAGGGAAGGAGAAAAAAAACAAAAAATGATTGAGTGAAGTCAATATTACTGATCAATCAGCATCTCTGAACAAGTCTCCTTTTGACATGCCCCCAGGCAACAACAATCCCTGACCATCAACAAGACAGTTATCCAAGGCTTGATACGAGAACTCAGATATAGCCAATAGCAGGCAAACAAACATATCTCCAGGGCAAAGAACTAATTTCTAGAATGTACAGGCTGAAGAAACAGACACATCATTTTTTCTTTTTTTAATCTAGTATGCAGAGATGTATACCCACAAAACTGTATGTTCCCTTTTGAAGTGATCTTGGGGACAAAAGGATACTTGAAGGCTGTCATATTTCAAATCCTTGAGGGTTGATAACCAAGATGTGTTCCAGACACTGAATGTCCATTGTTCACTGAAACTACATATCACCAAAAAAGTCAAAAACTATCAAAATACTGACCTCTCCTTAACAGGCACAGTTTCATACCAAAGCCAGAACCAAAAGTTAGATATATGCCAGAGCAACGTTAATAACTACAGCTTCACCTACCTAGTAGAAAAGTTCTAAATGAGGCAGCACCTTAACCTTTAACAGCAAACAATGTCCAATCAATTCTGCAGGTAACAAGCTTCTGCTAAAAAGTGATTTATCTTTCCCGTTGAAAATGTAACAGGCAATCACTGGGAGAACAGGGCAATGTGAATTAGGAGGAGAAATTGTCCGCCAATGAAAAAAATCCATTAGGGCTGTGACAAAGGTCAGATAACATTGTTTGGGTTCACCCATAATTCTTCCTTATATGAGGTTCACATTAAGATTTTGTGTAAAGGGAAAAAGTGCAGGTGCAGGCACTCCTCAGCCATCTCCTCCACAATCTATCTGATTAACATCAACTTTATAATATAGCCAAGCAAACCAACACACTCAAAAAGATTATAATGTCTCCTTTTAATTAAAAGGAGTCAAAAACATGCCTGCAAAAACCAAGATGTCAGATATGCCAAACATAGACAATAGGTAACAGTCTCATGAGTGATAAGCATTTACGTAGAAAAATATCTAACAGCAAAACATGTGGAACAGCTCTACTGAAGCACACACATTCACAGGTGACCTGAACAAAGAAAACACACAAAACAATTGTGAAGACACGGCTGGAAGACTCTAATCCTCCACTAACTCTCTCTTACACCCTAAGAGAGGTTAAGAGTTGATAAGTAGTTAGGATGATACGTGCTTAAAGTGTAATTCCATAAAAGCATAAAAGTTCAGCTACTAAACACCACTATTCTCAAAAGGTACCTCTATACTAAATCACTAGCAGACAGATTCAAGAGAGAATGCAAAGAAAGCTGGTCAAACAAATTATTTTGATGGCAGAAATGAACTCTCCAAATGGCTTAACTTTTATTTGATCTTCCACTCAAAAAATAATGTAACATACTTGTCACAATTCAATCCCACCGGCCAACAGCAAACAAAATCTACAACAGATACTTGTGCACAACTGTTGGTCTTTGCTCGGGGCAGGCCCAGACCAAAACCAGCATTTAGTCTAAGTTACACCTCAGTCAAGAGGACGTTCCCTGCAGATCAAGACTGAGCTTATCCATAAGGCAAAATGAGGAAGCCTTAAACGCACACAAATGTCAAGCAACCTACAGTAGAAGTGCCATTTAAGATGCAAAATGATAATTCCAGGACACACAGGAATACGAGCAAGATCCCAATCTTTGAAGTAAATTATCCAAAGAAATAAACATTATTCTAGTGCATCAATTGTTTTTCAGACCATATTATTTTTGAATGAAAATTTCACACAACATTAAATTGTTTCAAGTCAGCTTCCTCGGCAGCACTTCAAACCTGTATTTGTTCTTCAGCTTATCCACACAGATGGCATTAACAATTTCTGGTTACCAGGTCACCAAACCTTGGTCTCATTTTACACTTCAGTAACCTGAACGCTGTACATTATTTGAAAGGAAATTGGAGTGATGCGACTGTTTTTCCCCCCCATAGAATCAGTACAGTCTCACCACTAGACAGACAGTTTGAAAACCTAACTTCACCTTCTTAATGATAAGCAACTGGAAAGCCATCTACCAACTGGAAAGCCATCTACCTTGGGAACTGAGATCACCAAGTAAACATTTTCAAAACAAGGAGCCAATTTTGAAGTACAACATTACTGAGAAATGTAAATATTTTCAGTCTTTCAAAAGTCTAAGTTTGAAAGCAGGTACAAGTTCAGAGCAGCAGGAAAGGTGGGGAGAGAAATAAAAACACAAGGTGTAGAGAGAATCCTGCACCTGGAAACAGCCAGTTAGTTCCAGATGCTGTCTTTTGAGGGCTTCTCACTGATGATTTGACTTCTAATCAAAACAGCTCCATACGGTTCAAAAGTTGCCCAGATCTCTACAATTCTTATTACATAATAAAAAGGGGTTTAACTATTGGAATTTGAAAGTTCTAATTGCCCGACAAAAGGAATCTTATCAAAACATGTTTAAGACATCACTTGTGAATCACCGGCACAGCTTTCGGCACAGCTTTCTTGTGAAGAAGCTGCCAAAATTCATAGGCTTGTTTTCAGAAGAAAAAAGTGGAGAACAGAAACTTGTTTCTTTAAAATCTAGTAGTCCAAGGTGACCTAAACACAGGCAGGAGCTATTGGATCACTGTGCTGCCATAATAATTTGGTGTAGATTGTAGCAATAAATTTATCTTATCCATAGACAACAGTCCAGTGCGTAGATTTTCTAAGGGCTGGCAACAGATTATCTAATGGGTGGCAGAAGACAGCCCTGAGTGAAAGCATCCTTTCACTGACCAAAAGAAGATATTAATTTCCTCCTACCTGAGAGATCATGATGAATAAGGTCAGCAAAGTTGGGGTCATCACCCCACCAAAATATCCATAGCTCCCTGCGTCCCGGTCTCTGGTCTCGGCGCCAAACACTGAGTACATCTGCCTTCAGACAGCGGCTGAAGCTGCTCAAAATAGGGTCTTCTTCTGTGACCGGGAAGAGAATGGGGGCAGATGTTGGACCCTGCCATACATATCGCTTCCATTTAATCCCAGTTAGATCAGCCTAAGGAAAGAAAAAGAATAACTGGTCAGTGGGGTAGGTACACCCCCAACAGAAACATCCTGCTATGACAAGATGATGATGATGGTGGCACAGGAAGAGACAGGTGGAAGGGAAAAGGAAGGATTAATACAGTAAAATTTTTAACAGAAACCATACTTGTAAGCGTTGTGTACCTTAGAAAATAAAACTCTAAATAATCAGGCACCCCGTTTTAAAAGCTCCTTCAATAAATGCAATAAAGCAAGAGCTGTTTAAAGCAAAGCAGCATTAAGATTACAGAGAGAAAAGTCTGACTTGATGCAAAATAAAAAAGTCGAAGACAAGCGAATAATGTATTTATCTGCAGACTGCAACTGTCCAATCTACTAAACACTTCTCTTAACAAAGAACATCTTTCTTTTCGCTCACTTATGCATACACTACCTTTTCAAGCCAAGATTACTCTAGAGAAATAGATAATACAGTAAATCTAACTCAAGCATACATTCTTCCAGTCATCTACTACTTTGGAAGATAGCACAAGTTTCTCCATTGTAAAAATTCCCTGCATCTCACACAGGTACGCTTATTTTACCAAAAGCTATCACGCTTTCATTCCTCACACCGCATTTTATGAAATTAAATCCTGGTTTTGCCATTAAATTACACATCAGGCTTGTGTCCGCATTGATTATGATCCACTAAATCCTCTTCTAGGCAAAAAGTCATTTGACTTTATAAAGTAAGGGAGTTACTACTCTACGTAATGGGAAATAGACAATTCCTGGTGTATCTACAATGCAATATCTCACACTAAGTTTTACGCTAAGATTTTTCACGAGGACAGTCACTATTTTTGTTTCCCAATATGACAGCACACAAAAACATTACTGCAACATTTAAACCTAACATGGCAGCCTTCCTATCTTCAGGAGGAGAAGCGATTTATATGAAAGGTAGTCTGTAACAGTTGATGCTTTAGAAAGACTCTAAGATTTAAAAATGCACTACTAATATGGAGCCGCAGGCCTGGTGCAGACTGCAGACATGTTCAGGCTGTCCAGGTTCCCCTGCACCCGAAAATATTAGTACCACAGCCTGGGTCAGGTTTTTACTTCTAACAATCTCCAGAATAACAATCACCAGGCAGTCAGCTAAGATCAGCTAATTTGCATTAAAAAGCAGATGAAACAGCTCAGCACAGCCACCAGAAATTGCATCACAGTCCAGTTACATCAAATTTACTTTGTGGACTATGAAAATTAACAATATGAATGATTTCATACTTGGGTCAATAAAAGAAAAAAAGTCTACAAAATGGTGTACAGCAAAACATACGACACCACTGCTTCACAGGGAGCATCACCAAAAGCAGACCTCCAGAATAACAACAAGCAGTAAAAGAGATCACTTTAAAAGCAAGGAAGAAGGGAGGTTTCGGCTCAGTTTCTCTGGGATGTCACGAGTGGGGACATGAAAGAGAAAGTTCCCCAAGATCTGTGGCTGAAAGGAGAAGGAACATATCTCCTTACCTCCTGCGAGAAACAGCTGGTTCAGAAGCAGAGGTAGGAAGATCGGGAGAAATGAGGAAAAGTTGCAGGGAAGGAAAGGGAAAAGGCGAGTTGCAGGGAGGATACTCTCCAGGAAGAAACCGGAGGGAGGGGCAAGGCGAGACAGACAGCGATGGAGGGGGAACCAGAGGGGCATGGGAGAGTTGGCTGGCTCCAAGCAGGGCCTACTCTGAGGACTCATCCAACAGAAGCTATGCTAAAAATGGCTGCTTTGCTTCCACTACCCCTTCCTCCCCTCCCCCAAACCTCCTCTCTCTCCCACCCCGTGTCTATCGTGTGTGTGTGTGTGTGCCGGTGGCCGCACTTACCAGGCAGAAGAGGTTGGAATGGCAATCCTCCAGGCTGGCCCCGTTCGGCACGAAGCAGGAACTCATCCTCACAGCCACAACCCACACGCCATTATCCCACAGCCTCCGACAAGAAAGAAAGAGACAGACAGAGAGGGAGAGAGAGAGAGAGACAGACACCGAGAGGGAAAGGGGGGAGGGGGGACTATGCACACGCACAAATAATAATACAATTAAATAAGGGATTTACATACGGACACACAGGCACGCGAAATAGTGGCAGGATAAATAACCCGGGAGGAGAGTGGTATCGGAGAGGGGGTAAAAAATATATTTAAAAA